CATTGAAAACTGAGAACAGAAAGCACTTCTTCACCCAAAGGCTGGTGGGAGTCGCGAACAAGCTTCCCAGCCATGTTGTTGAAGACGAAACCCTGTCAACAGTTTGATGAGATCCGAGAATCAGTTAACTACATCTAACCACACAGGCTAGGTGGGCCAGTTGGCCTCCTCTCTTTTGTGACTGTTCTTATGAAAATAAGTGGAAGCTGACTTCAAACTGTGAACAGTTTTGTGGGAATACCCTACCTTCTTTGGAGGATTTAGGATTTGTTCAGTTTATAAATCATTCAGCATTCAGTGCCGGGCTCAAAACATTGGTGCACATCACCAGTAATGTCCAGTGATGTTTTCCATTTCACCAGACTTCAGTGTGGAGTCCAGTGGGCCCAGTGATTAAAACAGGCACTCGTTGTCATTCAGACTCCAGGCCCTGTTGTATTAATGCTGCCAGGGGCTGATTCAGATGGCTGTTTGACTTGCTGTCCTTTTGCCTTATGGTTGAAGGCTCAGGGTTAAGTCTCAGAGCTCCTTACAGAGGAAGATCCTGTAAGATCTTGCAGTGTCTGCACAAGTGGAAAACTGGCGGCCTGAGTTGTGATCACTGCTGAGGTGGGAAATGTCCGTCTCCTTCTCTCCATAAAACACTGACTCACCATATGGTGCACAGCTGGCTATCTCTCAGCACTAGTCCATGGCAGTGTTTCCTGTCGAGCTGAAGAAGCTACAGTCACATCTCTGTCGCAGAGCCTGAGAGCCGCGCAGTGGTGCTGTGGGAAAGGGCACGGACAGGGGTGGGGAGGTGGGGATCATGCCAGACATCATGTGTTCAAAAATTGTAATGAATGATGTAATCTATTCCCTTCAGCCAACCAGCTCCCTTTTCCGATACAGCCTCTACAGGATTAGATCATTGCAATATGAGTAGAATTGTTCCTTCAGCTAATGGATGCTTCCTAGATTAAATTTAGAATTAGAAAGCAATCATCAATAATATATTTGTGGGAGGCCGAGGAACCAAATAGTGCAACACTCTTTCTAGTTTGAAGAATTTAAAAATTTCCGCAGTTGCATTGAATTGATAAAACTTCGCAATGAGCATTTCCAAGCAAGGCCTTCACAAACAAAAATACCATAAACTAGGAAGATGTGAGAACTGAGTTTTCATAATAAGGAATTATAGTGAGCTAAAGGAGAAGCCAAAGAGAAATGAACAGCTGG